CAGGACTGTTTGGTGAACAGTTCAGCCTGGTAAGCTTGCACGTTAGAGGCATTCAAAAGATAAAGACGTCCGTCCATGTGTGCAGAATGTGCGCCGCATGGCTGCAGTGTGTGGAGATAAAATAAAAAGGAAGAGTGATGAGAGAAAAACAAAGATAAGAGCAGGCAGGGAGGGAGAGAGCGATAGAATCCCCTGCTGTTTTTCCAATCAGAAGGCGTCATCCTCCTCACTTGCTGATTTATTCTCTCTCCCCCTCTCCTTCATGTCCCAATTTCCACCAACCCTCCATGCACACCCCACCCTCCAATCCTTTCATTCATTCCTGCCTGCCTCCTGTCTGTGGGCAGCTTGTGAACAGAGCTATTTGGAAATGACGACAAAGACGCATTTGGGCAGTTCTGTCAAAATGACTCACCTGTAACGCCAGGAGGTTCCACCCGGCTCATTCTCACACTTCACTTATTCTTTCTCCCAGTCCACTTTGGAAGAGTCGCTCTGCCTTCGACATCACATTTCTTTTATTCTAAAAGCGCTATTAAATGATGTATGGCCAAACTGACCAGCATTAATATGTTTCTGGCTGTGCCTCATGCCCACCAGCAAAGAGCTTCTTACACAAATGAATAATGAATCCAGGGCTGCAGGTCAGGACTAAATACATCTATAATTAGGTTATTCAAATGAAAAATGGCAAGTGGTTCAGGGAGCAAACGTGCTGTCGATATGAATCAGAATCATTTGTTTTAATGACAGCGGGGGGAGAAAAAATGTGGTATTCATTCATTGATTATCACCTGTCTTGTTTTGCTGCCAACCAGTGGTTAAAGTCACATTTCATCCCTGTGTACCTCCCATCCGCTCATTCCCCAGAGCCACAAGTGTGTGTCTGTGCCGTCTGATCCCCCTGCAGCCGCCTACACCTTTAATAACCGTGTCACTCCCCTGTTAGCATGAGGGGATGTGGTAGACCATGAGATGTGGCACATTATTGCTCTGTTAGATTACCAATGTGAGTGTTTATGCGTTTGTTTATTTCGGAGGCCTCCCTGTAGACGAACACCCGCTGACCCCTCCCTCTCGGTGCTGGTTGGTTGCCACAGCTACCGTGTCGCCTCTCTTCCTCATGTTGCTATGAGACTCGGACCGACCGACCTGAGCTGAATGACAATGCGTCTGTGGATCTGACGAGAGGCCTACAGGAACCAATAAGAGACAGTCTAGACAAACACTTCCCTGTCCGGGGTCCAGGGACCTGAGGGAGCTTTTGTTTGGGTTGGTGGGAGCTTTCTAGTTACATGATGGCCTGTTTCTGACAACAGATGCATTAATTTGTTCATTAAATTCTTATTAAAATCTCCTGGTTGATGAATGATACCCAGGATTGTTAGACAAACCAAACCAAATATCTCAATGTCATTAAGTCTTCCAGGGTAGAAATAAAGGTTCTTCAGGATTTTGAAAAAGAAAAAAAAAAGTAAAAGTAGAAAGATCAGTTTTTGTCTGGTAAGCAAGCGTACAGAGTTCAGTAAATGAGGCGCAGAACAGATATGTGAACTTCTGATTTAAAATCTCAGCTCATTTTATGATAAGTTTAACGTCACATTCTTTGACAGTTCTCATGTTTCAGTCTAATCTTCTCTCTCTTTTAACCCTGGCAGAATTCAAAATAAACCGTTATCCAGGCTTAAGATGTGCTTAGAAGTATATTTTCATTACATCATCTGAAGATTATTATTTATCTGGTTTGGCATTTAATTTCTCTATAATCTCAAAATAACAGTTTTCTTTATCAAGAGGGTAAACCTTAGTTTCTCATATTTAAATGTCTTAAACTTGTATATCAATGTACTCTTTATCAGACGATATTGTCCCAAAAGTTAAAAAATTTCTATCTTTTAAAAATTCTGTCTTAAAATTCTGTGGGATTTTTTCGTTATCTTATGCAGGCCAGTTAGTTATACGTCACCTTGTACACCTAAATTCGGCCAATCATATGTCAAGGGTCACCTGTCAATCACATTTTTTCGGTCATAGCATCTTGATTCATGTGTCGCAGCTAATATACGCAACGGTTGAAATAAGAATCATTATTTAGTTTAGCATTGAGCTCCATCCCAGTGTTCACGGGGATGGACGTCTGTGTCTTCAGCAGGCGTAGAGCTAACAGAACTGGCAGCGCTGCGAGGCAAGGCTCAAACATGTACGGCTGTAAGCCTTCTACACCAAACCAAGCTTCTGCTGCCCTGGCGTCCTCTTCCACAACAACTTCGTCCTCGCTTTCCTCCTCTAAATAAAAGATATATGATAGAGGAGACTCATCCACGACCTCTGACACAAAACTGTCCTCCTCTTGCATGTTTCCGCTGTCCATAGCGTTCCTTGACAGTATCAATGCTAAGTACTACTTGGTCCCAATGGAAATTCCCATTGGGAACCTACTAGCACGAAGTTGCTAACTGGTTAGCAAGATGCTTCCGACAAACCGGCCACAATCAAACTTGCTTTCAAACCTTCCGCCACAACAATTTCGCCCCCCTGGATAATCGATCAATCACATTCACTTTATTCACTCATGTAAAGTCGGGCACCACTCAGGAGAAATTCGGAAATGCAACAGTTGGAATAGCCATTTCCATATGACTTTAAGATAAAGTAGTTTCAATAGCTTGAAGGTATAATGGAAGATGGGTTTTTTTTCCGGATGGAAAATTAGGTCATCCTTATTGTCTGGTGATACATTTACATAAGGCTGTCCTACATGCTCGTCCCCATTTTTACTTACCGGTGGTGAGTCTGACATAGTGACATAGTCTATAAATCGCTCTGTAAATCGCTTGTATGAGCGATGCAAACAGCAACTTTTAAACAGAGCACGCACGAGGAGAAATGGGCTCGGGCATGCTTTCGCACATGTTTAATAGGCATTCCCTCTTGGGAGCATTTTGAATGTGCATTGTTTTTTAAAGTGGAGTTTTCAAAAACTTGCGAAACTCCTCCACTATACCTTTAATAAGCTTAGTAACTTTGGGCAACAATAGTTGAGGTAACAACCTGATTAACGTATCTTGGGATGGAATTCCCTGGTTTGTTGTAATCAAAACTTAACCCATTACATTTAATCAAAGCTAATTTAGTTAATAACAGCTTAATTAACGTACCATGTTGAGAAGGTTGTGCCTGTTTTGTCAAGGTAAACCTCTGAAGAATCAAATATCTTTAGATACTGGTACTATGGTAGCAAGTTGGTCAACCTTGAAGGAATAAGCTGTTGTCAGAGAACCGGTTAATTTAATTAATAATTTAAAAAAAAGCTCTGTAAATCATTGTAATAGTTTGAATAACATATGGTAAATTAATTCCAGTACAACAACCTAATAAAATACTGTTATATAGCTGAGTTTGTTGTTTGAAGTTAGCAGCTTAATAAACTTAATCTAAAAATTTGCTTACTGTCTTCTAAAATTTTTATTAATTTATTATCTCAAGCTGTCTAAACTTATTTTGTATTTTAATAATCTTAAAATAACAGCTTATATTACTGGGATGATATTTTCTTACTTGGCTGGGCTCTAAGGCCCTTAGTTCCCACATCTTGTTTATTTTGTGAGTTACTGAGGTGCTAAAACTCATAGAGTTGAATATTTTCCTTAAATTAAGCAGCGCTATTGCTGATTTGACTTATTATAGCCAAGATAGTGTAGCTTCTTTTACTGTAGCAATCTACTGGGTTTACAATGGTATAATATAAGATGAACTGAAATAATCCAACTTATATCTTTATTTGTTGGACCTGAAAATACCTATTGTTTTATTTTTAGTGAAAACTTTGATTATCAGAGTAATTTATTAATAGTTATATAATAGTCTAAAAATCTACACTAAGCCGCCTAAACATTAGAGAAGCAAATGGAGGACAGGTTTACAATTAAAATTCAGGGCAGCTTGAGATTAATTACTTCATTATATTGAACATTTAGGTAATTTTCTTAAAAAATTACGGTTTGTTTAAGCTGTTATTTTCATTATAAAGAGTCACACATTAAATTACCTAAAATGTCTCAGAATAACTGGTTTTCTTCACATATAATGATGTTATTCTACTCTTATAATACTGAACTTGCGATCTAGGAATGAAACAGTGTAAATCCAGAGCAGTTACTCACAGCTGCTCCTTCTTTGACCTTACTAAAAGAAGAGGATGCTAAGATGTCCTGCTGTAGTAGCAGAGACTGTTGGTAGCACTAGACAGAGAGCAGATGTGATTTTTCTCCTGCTCAGAATGACAACATGTCCTAGAACTAAAACAGGAAGCACCACCGCCCATGGAGGAGACAGTTTTGACTCATAGCAGCTGAGCAGATGTGGGTGGCTAGATGAGATGTTTGGGGCTATTTGTCACCGGAATCAATCCGATGGCTGGTTTTGGTTTTTATTTTTCAACTTTTCATCCCTCAGCGAAAGTATAGCAGCTTTTTATTCAATCACTAAATATTTAAAACTTTTGTTCTCAGGAATCCTACAACCAAAAACATTCAATCTCTGGGAGTTTTTTTTTTTTTTTTTTTGTTCCCCATTTTTTTTTTTTTTGTTCCCCACAAATCTCAGTGTATTTACTTTGATTTTTATGTCTCAAATTAATAGAAAGTAATGAACTGGAAGGAAAATGATGGTTTCCAGCCACCTTAACTCAGATGCTCCTAAATTAATATTTTTAGCTAATCCATAATAGATATTTCTGTTCGGTGAGGACCCAGTGGGATATTTTTGTTGGCAGAGAAGATCATTAGACTTCCTGGGAAGATGTTACAGGCCACAAAGGTTTTAGGAGCAGAGGTTCACCTTCCAGCAACAAAAAAAGCATACATCCAGATGTTCAGATAAAAGCAAAGCATGTGTCAGTATGGCTTAGTCAAATTCAGTACCTATCAGTTTGGTGACATGGAGGGACAATTGCTGTGTGATGACAATGCAGTAAAATAATGCTCTCTCTGTCTTCTCAGGAACTGTTTACGCCTGAATGCAAGTTTAAAGAGTCGGTGTTTGAGAACTACTACGTGATCTACAGCTCCATGCTGTACAGGCAAAAGGAGTCGGGCCGGGCGTGGTTTCTGGGTCTCAATAAAGAGGGACAGATCATGAAAGGCAACAGGGTGAAGAAGACTAAACCAGCTGCCCACTTCCTGCCTAAACCCATAGAAGGTTCAAGCCTGGAGTTCATTTTTGCTTTTGCTTTTTATGTTATTTTATCTTTTGTTCTATAATAAAGCATTCTCCTCTTTCCTCTTCTCTCTCTCTAGTTGCAATGTACCGAGAGCCGTCATTGCACGATGTAGGAGAGGCGGTGCCTAAGCTCACAGGGGGCCCGCCTTCCAAAAGCACAACCTGTGAGCCCGTGGTCATGAATGGCGGCAAACCAGTCAGCAAACCCAGTAAGGAGGAGACATAACCCCAACTCGCCTCTTTAGCCTCCCCGCCTGGCTGACTGGACGCCAGGAAGAACCACAGACTTGCCCTGCTGCTGCGCTCTCAAAAATAACAAAACCGCTAGAAAAAGGTAACGGCTGAAAACTCTGACTGGACAGCATTGGGGGCTGAACGTCCTCCTCACCGTCCTCCCAGAGGGACAGCACTCTAGTTGGTGGCGGGGGAAGAAGAGTGGAAAGTTGGACTGCTGAGCTGGGTGAACTGGGACAGCGAGATAAAGAACATCTGAATAATCTAAACGGAAAAAAACACAACAAATCCACGCTCACGTTTGTATTTTTTTTTTTTTTCACGAGGCTCCTATCTTCCCCTAATAGCTTTCTGTTGCTCGCTCGCTCAGACACACAATCACTGTACTCTACTCCACATCGACCGCTTGGATTTCAATCTCTAAGTACATTAAAAGCATCAGCAAACACTAGAGAAAGAACGTTTTAAATACCAAACAGGGACGATTCAGGGGAAGCTTAGTCATCGATCAATTAGGATTTGGAAATTACATCCAATAGCATTAGGAAAAAGCACATTTCATCTAAGATGAACCCACCATCCGACTCTCATCAAGAAGCTAGCAGGAACATTTATAATGAATTTCCAATTTGTAGCAACAGGGAGTGTAACTAAAGTTTGCAGGTGTTGCAGCACCATGGTAGCAGTCTGTGTTTACATAGGGTAGCAGATTTAGCTTAATCAAATGGTGTTCTCCTTCATGAGGACTTGTAGGTTTTTTCCCTTTTCTTGATGCCTTCCCAAGTACTTGAAAACAAAAGAAGAAAACAGGGTATTAGAGCCTGTGTAACTGGGACCATTTTAATCAAGGTGTAGTCCAGGATTTCTAAGTATAACTATGTGAAAGTGAAGCGAATTTAAAGGTCCTGCGTGTTTTCAGCTAATACGCAAGAAGTAGCATTTATAAGACATTATCCGACTGTTACCATTGACTCAGTTTTCAGTGCGAAAGAAAACAAAAAAACAATTGTAGTTTCTCATCTTTTAGCACATTCCTGCAGATTTCTCTTTATGTCGCCCCTTTGCCATTTTCTACCTCGCTTTCAGATTTTTTGGTAAAAATATATTAATTTTGACACTCAATGTTTCAAAACACCTTTAATATATCCACCAATTCCCTTCAAAAACTTCATATTTAGTGCATTTATTTACAGTACAAGCTCATAATTGGAATTTAAAAATTTAGAAAATATCCTTTAGTTTTATCCCTATATTCATCCAAAAATGGTGGTTCTTCATTCAAATAGTTTCTCAAATTTGAACTTATTTTTCTTCAAAAACAGATTATTATTTAAATAATTAATTCAATGGTTCATTTTTTAGTTATGCATCCATCTTTTCAATGAATCATTGTGGCTTTTTTATTTATCAGAGGTTCCTGTCAATAGTTAGAAAAACATAATTTATATATTAAAAAAATTATATATATATATAATTTTATAGTTATGCTGGTTTTGTCTTATTTTTGAATTAGACAGCTAAAATAAATACACAACTTTAGATCTAAAAATGTTAAATTATTCCCTATTTTTTTCTTTACAATCATACATGGTTTCTCTAGAAGCTTTAAATTTCAGAATAAAAGGGTCTTTTTTGTTGTTAGAATTGTGTCCTAAATGTGTTAAAACCTACAGTAGTTTAAAATGTCGGCTGGCCTGCATGGTGAGAAACGGGGGTAAGAAATGGTGGAGGGCCGAATGAACCCAGAGCCATTATTGTGAGACTGTGTTGAGCACTAGACACTTTTATGGAATTGACCTTTTTTCCTTTCATCAAGTTAAAAGTTAAAATCTTTTTGAGGGGGTTTTGATTTAGCGCTTATGATGAGGGTTAAAGCTGTTTGGTTTCACTTTGTATGTTTTGTTTAAAAAAGATAGAAAGCAGACAAAAGATATTTGAGCAGATTAAAAATAGCTAATTTTTAAACAACAACAAAAAAATAACCCTAACTCTAGAGGGGATATTTACTGGACTCTAACAAACTGGCAACACATATTCCTGTTTCTCCTGCTTTAATTTTATTAATGACTTAAATCCTCTTTTTTTCAACCACTGATTCCTCCTTCTAACATTTAAAATAATAGGTGCCTTTTTCAGCTGCAGTCTAACATCTGTCCTAACATTTGTTTTTATCTCTCATTTTGATCCCTGATGGCTCAAAGAAAAGTAGTTTACACATATTACAGGCCTTGTATGAAAAAAAAAAAATAATAATAATAATAATTATATATATATATATATATATATATATATATATATATATATAATCCAGGTTTCAAATGGACTTAATAATCTACATCATCTAAAACTTAAGTGACATTCAAACTAAAGTTCAGATGCTGTCATAGTAATTTTCTGATCGAGTCCACATCCCACTTCATCACAGATTCACAATGCATTAATTAATCTGCTGGTTCATCAACATTTAACTGCGTCATGCTGAAGTCATGGTTCACCTATGATGCGATCAAAGGATGCATCATGTTTGCTTCCAGGTTATACAAGGAGCTTCGCTCTTCTGTGGAAGCTTTTACTAAAGGAAGAAGCTTTAAACTCAGCTTCTTTCAGTCTCAGCCAGGCATTTATAGTATCTGCATACTGGCTGTTTGTTCAGGCATCAACAGCAGGGATCAGGTTTGCAGTTTGTTGTTTCACTCCTCAACTTCGCTGTATTTAAGCATGGATGGGTATAATTAGTTGAACTAGTGAGTTAACCTGAAGCTGATTTCAGAACACTTATTTAGTTTTTAGTTTTGGGGCTTTCAGTCACCAAGCTGGATTTATACCTCTGCAGAAACCTGAGTTACCATGTTTATATGTCAAGTTTCTGATACTATTATAAATTATTTCTGATTTTTTTATTTTTTTTTGCATGAAATTTGAGAAAAAATTAATTCATAGTAAAAAAAATCTATAAATAAATGAGTAGAAAACAATATCCCTGCTGCATGAGTCAAGGCTGGACACACAAACTAATGTTGTGTTTTAATTACTGCTCATTCAACTTGAGCAATCAGTCTTTTTCTGTAAGAAGTTCTCAGAATCCATCATCTTTACATTACATCAGGGGTCTGCAACCTGTGGCTCCAGAGCAGCAGGTTTGGACTAGGGATGAAACAATTAACAGTAATTAATCAATTAATCGTCAAATAATTTAGTAATGGATTAATCGTTAACTGGAGTATCAAGTCTTTAAAATATGCTTTTAGCTGATAAAGTGACCCACTTAGAGCAATAATTATACCAAGATTGTAAATAAATATATATAAACATTTTGCATTTAAGATAAAAAAAAAATTGTGTGTCTCCACAAGTGGAAAGTTTGAGTTTCATCTTATTTAATTTTGTAAAAAATCTTCTTTAAGAAACCTTTGGTTACCCAATTATTAATCGATTAATCGAAATATTAATCGACCGATTACGGTAATCATTTGCTAAATAATTATTAGCTGCAGCCCTAGTTTTACTTTAATTAATACCCCATAGAAGAAAATCCATTCTTCATTTTTAATGAATGTTTTCATTTTTCCTTATTTTAAAAGCTAAAAAATAAACTGTTTAAGATGACGATTTCCTATGGCAGATATTTACCAAAATAATAGGTTGTGTTTAATTTAAAAAAAATAGATATGTAATATTTTGTGTCTCTTAACAACTGGATTTAGGGTAAAATGGCTCTTTGGATATGAAAGGTTGCAGACCCCTGCGTCACATAATTACCCACTCTGCCTTGCAAAAGCTCTCCAAGTCTCTCAAAGGGTGAAAACTTTAATTATTTAATTAGAAATTACCATTTGGACTCACATTAATGCCACAAATTAAAATCACTCTTCAAGTTTTTTATCAGACAGCTGAAGACTCTCAGAATACATCTGTTACATTTCAAGCACAAGGAGCGGTGGTACATGTGACCCTGATACTCAACAGCAATTGGCCATGTAGAAGTCTCACCAGAATCGCTGACATGATATTAAAACTGAGATTTCAGAGATAAAGGGGATAGGAGAACGGAGAAAAAATATACACCCAGGTTACATTATAGAAGCATGCTTTATTCCAGAAATAACTAGCTTTCTCTTTGAGAAAGGAATTACTTCCTAACAGCCAGTTATGTCTTTCTTTCAGCCTGCTGAATGGCAGGGGGTAGCAGCAGATAGACAACATAGCTCTATTGTTTTCCTCTATAAAGCCTCTACTTTTTCTATCTCCTCTCGCCAGATTTATCACCATGGAGACGGTGTGAGGATTTAAATTAGTTTCCCCTAATACATAAAACTGACCCTGTTAATGCATATTTGATAAAACTACCAAACTAAAACCAGAATTAGGAGAGAAACCATGACGCCACCCTCTCACTGTGAAAGCCAATTTGGCACCAGTTTGTTCTGGGACTTTCTGTTTACTCCAATTTCTTTGACTGCAGCACTAGAAGCTAATCAACTCTTCCAAATATCACAGGAGGAGATATTGTCATACTGTGATCCCACACTTCAAATTAATGGCAGTGACAATAAGGCAGGCACACGTTAACGCATTCAGGATCTGCTTATTAAAGCAATTAATACAGACACTGTGTATCCCGTGTTGCTTTGAATCCAGAGTTTGTACAGAAATAACAGCTTTTGCATTTTAATCGGTTGATTGAATCACTGTTCTGTTTGCCGAAGATTAATGACCTCTGTCGATGTTGCCACAACTACAAAGCAGCGACACGACAAGGCAGCCTCCCTGCAGAAATCAAGGCTACACGATTCATCCGCACATCAAACGAGCAGCGGCGTCTCAAGCCTCGTCAACGGGTCTGCATCCGTCCAGCAGGTGAAACGCTGCACATGGACGTTGTTTATCCCAGTCGGACGGAGTTGGGTGCTGCAGACCTCACAGTGTTTCTAATTGACATTTACAAAGTTTCTTTTCTCACGTACACCACATAATTTATCTCCTTCCCAAGAACTCATTAGCTGCCTCTTGCATTCATGTATAAATATGTGGTGGAGCAGCACATCTTATTACATGATTCAGACCGATGTGCTCATGGAGTAGTTATCTGAAATGTGTAAAGAAAATAAGAAGGGAGAGGAAACTTAAAAGAAATGCGAGTGCCTCTTATACCCCAAGCCAGGGTCAAACTGTAAGATCCAGTAGTAGATCTTAAATGTCTCCACCCTCGAAGTTTGACTTTTAGCTCCTTTCTTGTCTGATGTTATATGGAATAATGTTAATGAGGAACAAGTCTGGTGCCGTGCTCGTCTCATGTCCGAGAAATGTGGATGTAACATTTAGTTATTAACTGTTGTGTCGCAGTCGGGTCAAAAAACAAGAAAATAAACCCTGACAATCACACTCAGTAGCTTGGAAAGAATATTTATACGTCTCAAACCTTTTCACAGCTTGTCACACGTCAACTAAACCTTACAGAAAAAATAAATCTGAAACTTGCTTGCATTTCCTTTCAACCTGCTGAACTTGGACATCCATCATCTTAAGCAGCAAGTTCGTTTAAAGGTATGAAAGAGGATTTTACTCAGAAATTAAGTGTCCAGATTAATCCAAAATAACACAATTAATGGCTGGCATTATTGCACCATAAACTCTGGCCATTGTGGAGCCTACAAAACATTAGCCAATCTGCTCTGGCTACTGTCAAAAGTGGATTGGCTGTTTATTTGGGGCGACAGTCGCGTCGGCTTCGACCTTCAGTGTCGTTGTGTCCTTGGGCAAAACACTTCACCTGCATTGTCTACTGATGGCGGTGAGAGGGCCTGGTGGCGCCAGTGTACGGCAGTCCCGCTTCTGTCAGTGAGCCCCAGGGCAGCTGTGGCTACAATGTAGCTTGCCACCATCAGTGTGTGAGTGAATGGTTAAATGACTGAATGTAGTGTAAAGGGTCAAGTCTCCTGACTTTAAAAAGCACTATATAAGTACAGGCCATTTACCAATGAAAGATTTTGCGTATGTGCTCCCAGTACGTTATTGTAATTTATATGCTGTTTGGCTAGCAGTCTGCCATTACAATGAAGCGTGAAGAAGTACTCCTACGTCTTTTTTTGGAGGTATTTGTTCACTCTTTTGTGTCAACTCGAGCATTAATGGCCAAAAAGAAACCTGACAATCCTAACTGGAAAAGACAGCCTTTTTTCGATGTAGTTGTAAAGATGAGAGAAAAAGCGGGAGAGAACGGAGCCGGCTTAGGGCGTGTTTAAGGAATTCTTTTCCGAGATGGCATGCCCTGAAGGAGCAAAAAGGATCTGAAAATGGTCGCGAAATCTCTGCTGGACAGGTCATTTACGTTTAATTCAGTAGTAAGTACTGTATTTTTTTAAATTATGGCATGTCGAAAGCGGTCAAAAACGTGTTAAGTGATACGTTGACAAGGAA